CGGCACAGCCCGTAGGCTTCACTCGCCCAAGGCCAAGCAGTATCCAGCACGACTATTGTGTGTGTAGCATGCTGAAACGTGCTGGAACAATGGTCGGTTGAGAGCCTGACGTTGCGCATAGAACATTATACGTAGAAAAGTATGCGCGCAAACAGTACAGCCCTTGACACAGCTGCCGGCCAAAACAGAACTGTAAATACCCCACAGCGCTATATAATAGACAAAGAACGCTCGAGCGACAACACCGTATGATGTTGCGTGCATCCAGCACCAGAGACCTGCCCCCACCACGTGCACAGCCAGCTCACAGCACCACCACCAGCACCGGCACCCGGACCAGCACCAGCAACCTGTCTCCACCACATGCACACCCAGCTCACGCACCAGCACCGGCACCCGGCACCAGCACCAGCAACCTGCCTCCACCACATGCACAGCCAGCTCACAGCACCGGCACCCGGCACCAGCACCAGCACCAGCAACCTGCCTCCACCACATGCACAGCCAGCTCACAGCACCAGCACCGGCACTCGGCACCAGCACCAGCAACCTGTCTCCACCACGTGCACAGCCAGCTTACAGCACCGGCACCAGCACCAGCAACCTGTCTCCACCACATGCACAGCCAGCTCACAGCACCAGCACCAGCACCGGCACCCAGCACCAGCAACCTGTCTCGAAAGCGCGCGCGGGCAACTCATTGTTATTTGAAGTAAGAACCCCATAGCTTCGCTATCTGGGGAAAAAAACAACAATGGTGCACAACATGTTCATGCCAAAGCATAAAGCAATTGCTACTTGTATCTTTGGCTGCACTTTGCAATGCACACAGTTTTCCCCTTCGAGTCAAAATCATGTGTTGCACTGAGCATTCTGCTTGAAACCAGTATTCTCCATCAAAGAGTTTTCTGCAACACCAACAAGTGTCATCATTCATAAAACCCTTTCTTCCCACGTTTTTACTTTCCCAACATTCCTTTCTTGGGCAGGGTTTTCATTGAACAACAAATCGCCTACTCCTGTGTGAATACAAAATCCTCTATATTTGATAGTGTTGTCCTGTCGTTTGACGTAACTTTTCTTTGTGCAAGGTTTCTCCGCCTTAACGAAATTGATCATCCTGCATATACATATATATATATGTTATATAATATACTACTATACATATACGAAGCAACACAATTATGTATTAAACAACCCTTTGTGTAAAAACACGATCCGCTGTGTTCAACACCCAGTTTGTGTCTAGGAGCTCAACCCATCCTTTTCCTAATCTCCTATGATTGCTCCAACATGCTGCTAACATAGCATAAGCATAGTTCCGTTCTGCACTGCGCGCCCCCCAAGCCTAGGTCAACACATGTTTTTGACGCAAAAAACATGTAGCTACAGTTTGTGTATAATTGGATACTGGTTCTTCTTTGAAGAGTTGTCATTCCGACAAAATCATATCCGTTCCACCAGAATTTATTGTTTACAACACTTTGAACCCTCATCCTTCTTTTCCAAACCCTCCTTTCTCCTTGGTTGAACAGTTCTCTTTCTCCTTGGTTGAACCCCTCCTTCAGGCAAATTTGCTCTTGTCATCCAAAACGTTCCTTTCTTGCAAAGACGAGAAGGCGAGTCGTATCCTTCAGCATGAGAGCTTTCCTTCAATGAAGTACAACTCATCAAAGTATCTATCTTCCCTCCATCAAACTTTGCATTTTGCCTCAGTTTGCCTTATAGTTTTGCAATGGTTTGCCTATGTTTGTGATTATGTTTTCAGTATACAGTACATTACTGTACAGCGTTTGTTTGACATTCTTTGTCACGATGTACTTTTGTTCATCAAATGCTGTTCTTTTCTTGGACTCCCATCCCAGGGTGGGTCTGAGAGTCTGGGGGTCAACCCTGGAGCTTTGGAGCTTCGTGGAACCAACTCCACCTGCAGCTGCCAGTTCCGCAGCCATGCCCAGTCCGCATCAGTCAAGAGGAAGTGCACCCGGCACCAGCCAAGCGCGACGAGAACCACTGTGCTGAAGGCGTCCATCAATTTGCGTGTGAATACAAAGCAGCAGGATTGTGGTGATATACATTCAAAACATGTATGGCTTTATGATGCTTGCAAGGTTCTAAATGACGCCATGACCCGCGCCATGAACAACGGACCATGCAATAACTATAGTGATGCACAAAAGCCAGCTCGGAATGACTAACGAAGAAATTGATAGAAATTGCTTCCTTCGAAGTCGTTAGTCGAAGTCTAGGCACACTTCGTCACAAGTCCCAAGACTTGGAATTGATTGAACGTCGATCATGGTGAATTGATTGAACAATCCAATCCAAGAGTTCTATCTGTGTATTTAGGAATTGGTGAAAGATCGGACATCGAACCCCAAGGCCGTGGCCGGCAGTGGCCGCCGAAATCCAAGACCTAGCTGATACCGACCGGATCTGACAATCCATGAATTCAGTGTGGGGTGGAAGCTCATCCATCCGATTTCTGCTGCGAACCACTAGCTGATTCCAAAGGGGGCGGCTTTAAGGGTGTGGTTGCGTCAACCAGAGCTGGCAGCTGTGGATACAGTTTTTCTGCGTTTCTGTGTGCAAGGGCAGGTTGCTCTACACTGTACACTTTGCAGCTGTGGTGGAAAATTTGCATCCCTACCCAGCATGTCAGGTTGCAGGCCTCCGACGTTCGCGAATGCCCTCGAAAATTCCATCCAAGGAAGGCAATCGTCGTGTTTTCTCTGGTCGGAATCCTTGCAAGAGCAACCAAACCTTCTTGGATCTGTCGATCAGGCGCATAGTAACTTCATCGACTACCAGCCATTTACCGTGACCCGGGAGCTTGACGCTCACATTCCTCAAAGTCTTGGGGGGATTGGTGGGATCTCGTAAAGCCTTATCGACATACCTCTCCACGTTTGAGCGCATTTGCTCCCAATCCGTGGGCTTCACGAGCTTCCGCAAGGAGGGCATGTTCGATTGCAAAGCTGACGATGGATCTACCGTTTGCTCAGCCTGCTCCTCACGGCGCGCAAAGTTCAGGTGTAAAAAGCCGGTCACTTGATGGAAAAAGCCGGTCACTTTCCGTCAGTTTGCTGCATTTGGA